GAAATATATTTTTGAGATAACGTGAACAGGGCTGAGGAATGAGAGATTAAACTCTCATAAGCCCACTACGTTTATCTAGCATTTCCATCGGTCGGCTCAAAATGTTTGTGAAATTCGGGAAAAGCAAAGCCGCTCCCACAACAGATTGCAATCACAGCATCTCTCCGAGTTCTGTCTACCTGTTCAACATTACGGAGACAAGACATGACAGCAAATTGTCATGTTTTTCTGCACTGAATTCCTAAGCAGTCACATTGAAAACTCATTTACACAGCCTCATGTTGTTTCAAATATTTCTGTGTGGTGCTGAAAAGCAGCTATCTAGCAGAATGTTCAAGCTCTTTCCCATAAATAAAAGCATGTAGTCATACAAGTTTGGCAAAGAGGCATGAGGGTGAGAAAATGATGACAGATGAGTCATTTTTGGGTAACACTCCTTTGAAACACTCACTTGTGGAACCATCCACAACCTCAAGTATTAACCTTCACTCAGAGCACATGCTAGTGGAGAAACATGGCAGTTGTGCTCCAAGCCAAAAGAGTTAGATTACACATTGAACCCTCCTACATTTCAGCTAAGGGGCTCGGAGGGGTCACAGGGTCTGCGTTCAGAAATTAAAGTACACAGGAAGGAATGCATGTTTCACTCACTTGAACAATTTAGAGTCTCTATAGTTCAAAATTTGTTACAGGAAGGAAGTAAAACAGGTATGTATTATGTAACTTTAACCATTTACAGTACCACTGTTGCTAGGATAAGGCAAATTATGATTAGGCAAATTATCAGAATGTCTCATTCACTTACTATTTGAACAAATCATTTGGCACAAACCTCTTAGGGACAGATTTAGTACTCACAGCTTGCTCCAGTGCAAACCCTCTATTAGTATTAAAAAAAACTACTCAGGATTTACTAAAGACACACAAAGTTAAAAAATTAGCGCTGAAAAGTCGTGGACAGTTATTTTAGCGGATGATCATATGCATATGCATTTGTAGTAGTTTCATTTCAGATGCAAAATTAATGTGAAGAGGGTTTTTAAATGAATCACACAAGGTGATTTACTAAGGCCGTGTTGACACGAGAACTCTCGCGGGTGAAAACGTAAAAATATTTTATCGGATGTACCTTTCGTTTAGACGGCGATGGTGTTTTTGGGGCTTAAAAATGCGAAAAAGTGAAACCACCCTCCAGAGTGGAAATTTTAAAAACGCTCCACCGCCGCGTTCCCGTCTAAAGGGTAAAAAAAGCAAAAGTCTGCAAGACAGGGAAGGTTGTACGCAGGCACGCGGACTTGGTGTTGTTATGTGGTAGTGCTCCACATTGCCACCTAGCCACCTGGAGTGCACACTACATTGAATTTCACACACTTTTGCGTCACCATATGCACGTGGATTTCCCACCCAAAACGCTCGTCTAAACGCAGAATAAAAAGTGATAAGGCAACGCCACTTTTGCATTTTCTCTTCAGAATCGTTTCCGTGTAAACATAGCCTAAGGTTTGCGCTAGTCAATTTACCGTTATTTGTGCCAAAAAAGCATGCCTTAAACCAGATGCTAATTTGCGCTGCTCTTGGTAGATTGTGATGGTCATTATGGAAATTTGTTCTAGATCATGTGCAGAACTTTCCACTGCCACTTTTTTGGAACTGCGCTCTCACGCTTATTTGCCCCGTTTAATAAATCTGGTTTTAAAGAGATATTTCACCCAAAGATAGATAGGCCTATTCCGTCATTTGCTCACTTTTAAGTCATTCTAAACCTGTTATGACTGACTTTCTTCAGCAAAACACAAAAAGTTGCTATTTTATAGAGCGCTGGGTTCCAAAACATTTTTTTTTTTATCCAAACTATTTTATGAGGTATACTATTTTAATTCAGAAACGCAGAATGATCTCATGAAATGGCGTATGTATGACACGCCAATTCGTATTTCCATTTTTGGCGTGCTATCAACACGCATAATCGCTTTTCAGCATGTTTATCAACACCGTTGACTTAACGTTACATTACTATATAGACCCCTTTTGCGCCGACGTCACAGTTACGTCACGGCGCTAGCTGGAGGCAAAACAAAGTGAAAACTGGAGGCGGTCAATGCTAAACAGCACAGATTCGGCTACATAATAAGGAGCTTAAATAATTGTTACTATTATTAAATGCCATCTTGTTGTGTTGTTTGGTGCAAGAATTGATGAAAAATGAATATGCTGTATCTGGAACTTTTATTTCTAGAAAATATTCACATCATTAAAATCGCACTGTAATGTCACTCTTTACATTGTCGTGGTCTCGGCGCTGGCTCGGCAGAACTGCGGATCGTTCACACAAGTCTTGTACAGGACCATATAGGCATCTAAAGATTTATATGCCTTCAGTTTCTCTTTACGATCGGTTTCTGTATAAGGTAGGTGTAAGTTAGAATTCAGGCCACTCAACCAAGGTAACGTTAGTTAATCCTGTCAGATCGTCCATGCATTGAGTGAGTGTGTAGGCGGCTACGGGTCGGCCAATCTGGTTCCGTCCGTTAAAAATAACTTTTGGAAATAACAATCGCGGTCCTGGACACAGAGTGACCTTACACATTAAGATAATATCGGATTTTCTCCAGTCATTGTTAAAAAACAAGCTAACAATCCTTGCTATCTAGCGTTAGTAAAGCGGCCAGACGGATTTTTTTGCCTCCACCTAAGCTCTGCCCACAAAAAACGTCACCATGTTTACCAACTGTAAAAGGGTCTATACATTTAACGGACATTTAACGGCGTGTACATACACGCGGAATGAATCACTCGAAAGTTTAACGTAGACATACACGAATACACGCGGATAGCTCAAAATGCGTATAGATAACACGCCACTTGACTTGAAAGTGGCGTGTATGTTTACGCAAAAGTCATTAATGCCATGTTGGGAAAAGTATGTTTTAAAAAAAAAAAATTACTGTCCAGTGTCCACCCTTTAACCTGTTAACGAGGCACAAACAGATCACACAAATTATCCACTAACTTGCCAAAATAGACCTGCCATTAGCGTACTAAAATATATTCATTTGTGTTCCAAAGAAGAAAGTAAGTCATACAGGTCTGAGAGGACACGAGCGCGAGTAAATGATGACAGATTTTTAATTTTATGTGAACTGTCCCTTTAAAACATCTTCAAGTGTCAAATAATAAGTGAAATAAGCCTTTCTGCTAATACTCCAATGGGAAACGGCCCCAGGGTTTGACTGAACAGACATTCCAACCCTTATCGTTCATTCCTGATTTGATGAACTTTCATCTGCATGACTTTATCTGACACATTTTTACTCAATCAAGCATCGTCAACAAATTCCTCACCGTCTGACTTGCGCACCACTCGCTGATATACTTGTGCATCGTCCGTGCTACATCATGTCTTCCCTGAAGAAATAACAATCCGATTCAACTGGTATTACATTGTCAAGGGGGCTTAAAAATGATGCCCCTGAATGCAAGAAGGCAACACATCACTAAAGGGTTTCCAGCTAGGAGCCACAGATTAATCTATTACACATGTGACAGTTGAGCAGTAAAACAAATATAAACCATCATCACACACACAAACATCAATCTGGAATATTTCAAATAATGTGGACTGTGCCAGATAAAGTCTAGGCGGGAGGAATTTACTCAAGTTAGATAAAGAGAAATCTTAAAATAAGTTAATCATGAGTACTGACAGTTCGTCGGTAGATCAGCCAGGACAATTTATTAAAAAAATAGTAATTATGAAATCGTTTACAACATAACTGATTAAAAGAAGTGTATGTTATACAATTGAATTGAATGATAGCAGCATTATTTCAGACAATACCAACTCAAAATCACTTAAATAAATACTTTAAATATTAAATTTGACTGGTCTGCTATAGCAGTAGATTTTGAACGATTAATGCCTAACAATTTGCGAGTTCCTATGACAAAACACAAACATCTGGGGTCTTAAACTCTAGGGGTCTGACAGGGTTATATCTCACTCAGTTTGCTGTAACTTCAGCAGATATATAAGATAAATGAATATAACAGATTCACACTGTTATGTAAACTTCAGTACATGTATTTACTGAACTACCGTGCAATAGGTCAGGGTCGGACCTCTACCAGTTCCCCGGCCTGGTCAATACCAGCTGTTTTTGGAACATCACCAACTAGAAGCTTATTCAACCGAACTCAAATATTCTTAAACAAACTGTATATTTCACAAAATGACATTTAGGACCAGCACTTGAATGAAAATGAGAGAACCTATACTTCATTATGTCAAAAAAGTGCATATTTTAGTTAAGCATTTTTATAAAATGGGTTCGTATAATGCAATCATGTGCATTATTTAATAAAAATATATTCCATTTCATATTCAAGTAGTTGTATTTTACTCATTAATTCTACTTCCTTAACAATAAAAAACGCATTGTTGCGAAATAAAATCAGACTGAATTTATGGAATTATATTTTTGTGTGCATGTGAGGAATTAAATAATTTATTAACGTATGTTGGATATTCCAAACTAGCCTAAATTTTGGCTTAATCCATTTATTCATGCTAATGTTTATATGATTTTTACATAATCTATATGACCAAACTCTGTTATTAGAAAAACCAAAACCAAACAATCATTGATAGCCTTTCACCCATTTCCATCTGGATTTACATAAAACCCAGCAAAGATTATGATGTTATTAGCGTTATCATAACCCGGATCCGTCGTAATAAAAGATGTAAAACATAAAGACATACGCCACATACTGTCTTGACAGCTGTATCTGAGCACTGATATGTGAACATGTTCAAATGAAAAGATGTAATAAACTCACACAATATCACTGTTTTAGTTAAGAAACATCTATATCTAGCCCTCTAGTTTCCTCTATACACATTAAAATAGTTTTTATAGCCGCAAATCAGTTGGCTTACAGGATCCCTTGGAATTAGGAAATCTAGATGAAGGAAAAGAAAAGGACTGGCGCATACATACCACAGCATGCCTCCCTCTCTCTTCTCTTTCACTCCTTTATCTGCAGCAGCAGTAACCGGCTCAGAAATTCATCAAGATGAGGAATAACAATAAAAATAGTCCAGCAGTAGTCCCATAAACATCGGCGTTTCCCTTCTTCAGCCGTCCGATGGCGGCACAATCTCTTCGTTCAATGACTGATCGTATTCTGAAAGTTTTCAACAATCTGATTTGCGTTTCTCTTCCCAAATGCAGCACAAAAGACAAGAAAAGGCATCGAGGAAAACCATCAGATCACCGTTTCTTGTTGGAAAGGTTGGGGGCGTTGAAAGAGAGAGAGGGAGTTTGAGAGAGGGGGAAAAACAGCTTTGTATCGTTGTGTCTTCCCTTGGGTTCACCACGTTGTTTTTGAGCACTTATAATTTCCTTTGTTGTGTCCAAAACATCTCGAGTTGTCCATGTTTATCACACCTTTCAGCCGTCAACGCGCGGTCTGTGGAGAACAGCGCAGGTCTCCAGCGAAAAAAGGACTTCTCGCAGCATAAAGGCGAAATTCAGTGATGGTGCGTGTGTGAATGTGTGTGTTAATGTGTTTTTTCAGCTTCCCAATAATGGCGGCCCTTCTCCCGTTCTCGGTCTCTCCTCCCTCCTCTGTAGTCTCGCGCATGGACACAATTACCGAACGCGCGCGCGCGCGCGCTCGTACACACTATGATAACGCGCAACACACGTAACCTGGGTACTCTTGTCCAGTGCAATTATGAATGGTGTAATTATTGCTTTTTTCTTTTTATAGAAATAATATTTTAGTCAGTGACAAATTCTCTCGCTATATAAAAGAGTAGCCTACGTCAGTTGAGAGTTGTCAAAAGGGGCTCAATCTAAGCAAATATACCTACAACTTTTAATCAAATGTCTAAATGTGGTTTGTTTGGTTATATGTTGGTTTATAAAAAATTAAGTAAAAGGTAATTAAATAAAAGATTAAAACTTGACTTAAATTCCACTGTTGTAGCCTATACAATAAGACTATGTTGCCAGGATAAGTGTATTTTTTTTTATAAAAGTCGAGGTTATTATTCTCGATTTAAACAACAAATAAAACTTTTAAAACATTTTTTAATTGAAATAATGCAGAAATAAATACTAGAAATACTAGATGAACAACATAGTTAAACAAGTTAAAACACTGCAATTGAAACTAAGAATAAAAATAAGTTAAATAAAAACTGAAACTGAACTAAAACCTGAAAATAATTAAACTGAAAAGAAATATTTTTTTAAAAGACAACAAAATCTAATAAACATATTTTGTAAAAACTGTAGCCTACATAAATAATGCTGAAATAACATTGTTTGTCACATGTGTTTTTACTCTCTAAATAGTCATTATTATTATCAAATAGTCATTATTATTAAACAGTCATTATTATTATTATTATCATTATCAGTTCTTATTATCAATAAATTCATATTATTGATTATGAGAGTCCAATCAGAGAGGGTCACTTAAAAAGTTAAATAAAAAGAGCTTTTATGCTTTCTGTTGTTTATAAATACAAAACTAAATGTGGTTCTAAAATGAAAAACAGAAGCTAAATCCATTTGTTTTATTACTCGTTATTCATATTTATCATGACACAGTTCATTAGTTTAGAAAAAACAGCAGCCTTTCACAACAAACTGTTTCTGGTGAAGTGAAGAAACTGCGAAAGGTCTCTGCTCCCACCTCTAGACTGCAGCTGAAATATTTCTAAGTCCCAAGGGCCGCTGCATTCCTCGCTCTCACAGTTGTGCAATCTCTGAACAATCAGAGCCCCAACCCCCCTCTGAATATGTGCAGAGACCCTTCCACAATGTTCTACAGTAGACAAACTTATAGCCTTAACAAGCTGAAACACAGAAAACAAGTGTGGTGATGTAACACAGATATGAGCCTCCATTTTTAAAGATGTATCCAGAAAATATGGCAAGAAACCAGTAATGAGAAGTGAGTTCAGTTCAGACTGAACTCACACTGCATGGGACCATTGTCCAGATGCTATTGTTTTTCATGTAACACACACACACACACACAAAGTAAATTTTAAAGCCAAATATTTCTTTAAAAGTAATTGCTTTTGAAAACAGAAATGCAAAAAAACAAACAAAAAAAAAACATGAAAAATATGTTTTTTATATATATTTTAATATATTTTTACTGCACTCCATCTGTCAGTCTATCTATGTTTACCAAATATATCTATGTGGTCTGATCTAGATGAACGATATCTTCTTGAATGTTCATCTCACATGAACAATTCTTATAGTCTATTATCTCTATCAAAAATTGGTATGTATAATGAGTACCATACTTATTCCAGAATATATCAAGAAAATGGGAAAGTCCTGTGGGGGTCCAGCCTGGATGTATAAAAACATATAGCCTAGCATTAAAAATAATAATAATTAAAATAAAAAAAGAAATGTTTGAAATATGTCAAATATCAAAATGTGTGTTGTCCACAATAATAATAGGTAGCCTACACACTTTTTTACAAGAAAATGTCTAGCTATTAATATTGGGTTCCCCTGGTTCTGTAAAGTTTGAACCACCCTCGATTAATGTTCATAAAAACTGTCATTAACATTACGTCACGCAATTATTTATTCACATGTGTCCAAGGCTCTATTTAGTAACTAATCCCAACGCAAAAGTCCTATCAAACATCTTAAATTGTAGTCATGTGCCATCCTCGGGAGTTCAACCCCGGTGTACGATTGTTATTGTAGTTTAACATGCACATCCTCTTCACATTCATGTATGTCTACAGCCAACAGATAGAACTACATTGCCCATCATTCATAGCGCCAACGGCCCTCTGCTCGCATCCTGTCCGGTGAAGATAGCGGGCGGCTACAGAACATAACCTGAAGACTGAAGCTGCTTTATCTCATTACCCTGATTAAAATTACTTAGGTTACCGTGAACGATAAATACAGAGCACAATGGTAAGTGCCGATGCCTATTTTTGCTTGTTCAAATCATTATTTTGAGTAGTTTGAGTGTCTGTTCTTCTCGGCTAACATGCTACTAACGTTATATATTCCGATTATAACAACACGACCAAGGTCATAAATCATATTATTTAGACATAATATATGGACTATAATATCCAAGAGACAAAAATAACCAGCCTTTCATTACTCTAATCCGAGTCAGAATAGAAATAACGCCGAATGAATGAAGCTAAATGCTCATGCCTATTTATTTGATGCAAACACTGTATAATTAACTTAAATATCATCTCATATAACTTACCCTTTAATAAAATAATGCATAATACGTTTACAATGGTAGCTCATGCATCTTAAGCTATTAAAATTCTTAAATACCTGGTCATTATGCATACAAACAAGCATTAGATGTCAGATTCCTGACTCATTCAGTTTTATTGAATGATATTGGATGATTTGTGAGATTAGGTCTAAACGTTTGCCCTGTTCTTCTTCTGTAGATCCGCTTCATCCTCATCCAGAATCGAGCAGGGAAGACCAGGCTGGCCAAGTGGTACATGCAGTTCGATGATGATGAGAAGCAGAAGCTGATTGAAGAGGTTCACGCCGTAGTGACAGTCCGTGATGCCAAACACACCAACTTTGTAGAGGTACAACACTTACTTTTAACGTTTTTACACTAGCTGTGGTTCAGAGATGAGTTACTGGCCATTACATTTACATAATTAGTGTAATGTTGCAGAAAGAACTGTGATCTGATCCAAGGGTTTTCAGAATGACTTTCAGACAATATTTACTGTGAAAAGATCTGTAAAGTAAAATGTTTCTCTTCAGGTAGAAAGAATTTCTTTAATTATGGATTTGGGTCACATTACAATATAAAGGCCAATTATTTGATTTAGAAAATGTCTTTATGATATCATGGTTACTAGGTTACATTTCTATATATAGTTGCCTTTAGCTCCATCATAATTTTTAGGGGCATCAATGTTGAAATCATTACCCAAAAACTGTTTATATATATTGGTCTTAGTTTTTATTCATCGTTTTCCTCCACAGTTCAGAAACTTCAAGATCATTTACAGGCGGTACGCCGGCCTGTACTTCTGCATCTGTGTGGATGTGACAGACAATAACCTGGCTTACCTGGAAGCTATTCACAACTTTGTTGAGGTAAATCTTACTCATGCTAATTTTAATGTCTATTAAACTTGTATATAGTAGTGGTGGCCAAACGTGATGCCCGACCTAGAAAAATTGGCATCTTCACTTTTAATTTAAACATTATAAAAAAGGTGTTAAAGAGTTTGTAAGCATATAGCGTAGGTGTGCTTAGAGTCAACGGTTTTATTTGTGATAACGCAATGAAACACGCCAAATTGTGCGGATATCATTTTTGGCCTGGCTGTCATGCAAACACATTATGAACAATAAGAGAGAACCAACGAAATATTAATAACTGATTATGTTGTAGGCAATGTATGCTTTTTCCTGTGAGCTTTTTGGTTTTCTATGCATTTTTTGCCATTGTAAAATAAAACCTGTAGCTGTAGTTTGCCTTTTTTGCCAAACAATTTTGTCACAAAAGTTTAGTATTTTGTTTTTGCCTAATATTTAAAATGTTTAATAAAATATAAAATATTTTCCTCATATTTTGATGGTTTAATCACACTTGTTGGGTCATTAAAGACATTTTGTAGACGTTTTGTCTCCCACCAAATAAAATATAAAATTTTAAATAAATAATTTTTCAATTGAGCATCTAAATTATATAATCAGCACATTTTCTGAGCATTAAAATGATTATGCTAAACAGAATTCATAATTCATGACCCTTAAGAAATATTCAGGACAGCTAAAAAAAATATATATAAATTTCTGTTTATGTATATGCTTTGAAATGGATTTATGGGTAAATTATCCCTAAATCAGAAGAACCATAATTTTGACCAAACAGCCACAGTTAATACAAGCAGAAAAATTAATTAAAATTTGCGTTAAAACTAATCAGGCATGATTTCCTCACAATTTTTTTTTTTACTAATTGGAAACCAGGTACAATCATTTTATCTAGCTATGTTCCCAAATACATCATAAACACAGAAGTGGTATTATTTTACAAAGATTTCAAAGCATTTAAAATGCTAGTGATGGTTTGAGTTTGGTATTTTTTGCAGTCGAAATTTACCGATACATCAGAAAATAATCTCACCATTCATATAATTGCAAGTAGTTGGTGACAAATAAGTGGTCATGAAACTGAACGGTTTGCATATATTTAGGAAACATGCTAAGTTCACATACTTGTTTCTCTGAAAAACATGCTATATATCCAGTTGATATGGAATGTCTGTTCTTGTTTTCGTCTGTGTGGTCTTGAAACTTTAAAAAGCACAATATATTGTACATCTATCTGATAACCTCTACCGTAAACATTTCCAATCTAAAAACAATTTAATGTAGCACGTATTTAATTAGACTAAACACAAACGAGCTTTAGCGAGACCTCTCACCAGGTAAATGAAGGAGCACTGGAGCAGCACTTCTGTGGGTGTAATTTTCCATGTGTGAGAGACAAATGGAATGTGTCCGTGAGGGAAACCAGCGGCCAGGGGTTCAAGAACATTGTGACATGGAATTCTAGGA